GAGGTCAGCAACCAGGGGGTTTATGGGAGCTGCTCCACCTTCCGCAGCTCTTTGAGCAGTGACTATGACCCATATGTTTACCGCAGTAAGAGCCCTTGCCGAGTGGGTGAGGTCGGTGGTGCAAACAGGGGTGCAATTGTTCTCTTGGAGGGCCCCCACCAGGACGAGCTTCCAGCTCATGGTCACAGTATGGTGGGTGCTGACTGCCGGCTTGTGCCAGCTTCTTCCTCAGGGGACCAACTGTCTAATTGCAGCATGGATATGAACTATAGCAGTAATTCCTCACTAGAGCACAGGGATCCAAATGGCACTACCTCAGAGGGAGGACCTGAGGCCACTCCTGGTGCTGCCTTGGATGTTAAAAGGAACTGGAAGAATCCAGAGATAGCAGGGTCGATTTCGGAGCAAGCATGCACGTGCTGCTTTGAATTCCAGCACTCTGCCCTGGAGCCTAGCAGTGGGACAGCTGACTGTAGTGCACTCTTCCTTAGCTCTCCGCTGTGGGGGACATGTGGCCAAGGAATTGAACCACAGTCAGGGAACACCCCAGGCTTGTACAGTATTAACTCAGACCACTTACATAGGACAGATGGGGTAAAATATGAGGGGTTGCCCTGCTGCTTCTATGAAGAGAAGCAGGTAGCCTGTAGTAGCAACAGTGGCAGTGGAGGTGGTGGCTGCTATACAGAAGACTATGCAGTGAATGTGCAGTACACGCTTCCTGAGGACACCTTGCCAAACTGCTGTAAGGGTGTATGTGATCTGGGTCAACGCATTCCCATAATTCCTGAAGACAGAGACTGTGAGCTGATTCTACCGACAGAGCACCAAGGGACCCACACAGGAAGCTGTAGTTCCTGGGATGGAACACCTGAGCTGGATACTTACCTGCACTGTCAAGGTACTGGAGAGGTACAGGTCGAGAGGGAGGTGTGCTATGAGGCAACGTCATTCCTGCGGCAAAACTACTCTCAGGAGGAGGAAGCCGGAATGCTCTTTCCCAGTCCCACTCTGAACTCCCAGAAGCTGATGACAACCACAAAGGTCACAGGTAATATGTGTGCTTTTTTTGATTACTTGCTACCTTTCTGTCTTAGTGTATGAAATGCTGTCAGCTACTTAGGTACCTGCAACCATAAAGGTGACTCCATCCTTTGCATAAGAGCAGGTTATCGACTAACCCTTTTCCCCAAAGTGTTATTCTCTTGTTGCCTGTACTCATTTGGTCATAGCTAGAGGAATAGAAGAGTAGTTTACTATCTAACCCTTTAAAAGCTTTCATACTCATCCTTTGTGGGGAGGAGAAAAAGCGACTGCCAGTACCAGGCCCCCCTTAGAGTTCCCACAGCCAGGGACACTGTGCCAGTCATAGCAGCTGTGGTGAGTTGCTTAGGTAGGCAAGGCCACAGTGCTGAGAGAGGACAGACAAGCTGAAGGTTTAAAAAAAAGGAAGTGAAAATCTTGGAATTGCTGTAGAAGAATATGTGGGAAAGTCTCTGCTGTGGACATAAAACAAGGGGAAAAAATAATCACTCACAGAAGGAAGGGGATATTCCTTACCTGCTTTGCCAGGGCTGTTTTAAGGGTTTTCCTAGAATCACAGGGTACCCTAGGCTGGAAGGGACCTCAGGCCATCATCTAGTCTGACCTGCTCAAAGCAGAACCAGCTCTGAAATCAGATCAAGTTACTCAGTTTGTTAGATTAGACCTAGTTTATCTAGTCAGGTTTTGACAACCCCCAGGAACACAGAGTGCACTCCCTTTCTGGGCTCTTGTTCCTCTGCTTGACTGCCAGCATGGTGAAAAGATTTTCCTTATATCCAGTCTGAACATCTCATGCTTGAACTTAAGCTCCTTACCTCTTGTCCAGAATACATGTCTGTGAAGACTGTGGTTCCATTGTTGTGACAACCTCCATGCAGGTATTGCAGAGCTTCTAGGGGTGCCCCTGAAACCTCCTTTTCTGCAGGCTGAACAGCCCAAATCCCTCAGCCTCTTCACACAGGGAGAGCCCTCTGAGCATCTTGGCTCTCTGCTGAACTCACTCCAGTCAGTCAGTCTCTTGTTCTGGGGGTCCCAAAACTGTATGTAATATTCTAGATGCAATGTTCCTTAGTTTTCTTTATCCTTCAGGTGCTGGATCTCATCCCTTGGAGAGAAGCCAAATCAGTGACTAGACCTGTCCAGATGATCCCAGATGGAGAAGCGGAGCTTATCAGAAACTCCAAATTCTCGTGGACTTAATTTTTTTTTAAGCTTTGACAAACACACAAAAGTGGTAATGTGGAGAAGTCCCTCCCCTACTTCCTCTGTGTTCACATCAGCTTGATTGTCTCCTTTGTCCCTCCTGCCTGAAGCCTTCAGGCCTCGATTTGTGTGCAAAGCCCGTGTGGGACGTGGTGTGGAGCATTTCTGAGCTCTAGTGCCATTTCTATATTAATGACAAAGTGTTATTTATATTTTCTTTTTAGAAGTGACCTCTTGCTGAGAGGTAACACAGTGTGTTAAATAAGCCAGGCTATGTGTAGATGCTGTTATCTCCTACTTAAAGGAGTCCAGCCTTTGATAAGCTCAGGGCTACACCTGCCTTAGAAACCAGATAGCACCTTGAAATATAGTAGTCCAGAGGGATACAGCTGCTGAATGGATGTTCAGATACTGACTAATCCCAGTAGCAAATCCTAGCAGCCAGCAAGTTATGTGAGCGATTTTGAGGGAGTTGAAGCATTGGACTGTCTCCTTTCTCCTCTCCCCTCCTCCCCCTTTCATGCTGCTCTGATGGTTTGGCTAAGAAGGGTCTCCTGCCATGATGATTAGTTTCAACAGAGTGGGGGTAGGGAACTGGTAGCTCAGAATGTTCTCATCCTCACTTCCTGTATTTAAACCATGGACCTCATTGTATCTTCTGACTGGTGAAGAATTACTGGGGACCTCTCCCTCAAGCAGATGCTAGAACAAAGGGCTTAAGAAAGGGTATTACCTTTGTAGGTAATGAACCTTTCCTTCCATAGGAAGTTTTTCAGGCACTTGTAGCTTCTGTTATGGCTGTGAGGAATGCTGGCAAGTGCAGTGAAAACAGAGCTTGCAGTGTGCTTGCAGCTTTGCTGGCTCACTTTGGAAACAGGTCAGAGGGTTTCTTGTTTCCTTTACAGGCTGCAAGCATGCCTAAGGGAAGCAGTGCTTGTCACTGTGCATATGGGAAAGTGAGGAACTTGGTTTAATCATTGTTTTCTTCTTTGCTGTGGTTGATGTAGCTTCCATAGACCGATCTGCTGGAAAGGTTTCTTGGGCCCAGCCAGCTGTGCTTCATTTTTGTCTTCTGTACAGAATGCTCTCTGTACCCCATTAGCCTGGGCACATACTTTTGTTCTTGTTCTTGTACTAGTGGGGACGTTTGTTATCGTGAGATAATTTATGTCGTCACTTCTGATAGCAATTGTTTCCTGTGGAAACAGCAGCTTCTGAGTAAGAGGCTACCATAGCATGGGTTAAATTGCCTGTCATGCTGCATGTGCCTGAGGACACAGTGTCATCCTGTGGTGTATTCACAGTAGGAAATCTTCTAAAGGGAAACTAAATATTTAATGCCCACAGTGCCAGTCTTCTGAAAAGATTTGTCCTATGTTCAGTACACTTTGGAGGTACTTAAAAGACATGAAATAGAGATGTACCTTCATGTTACATATTCTGCCAAAGCAATGTCCCTGACAGCACTGGGCTAGTTGTGAGACCCAGCAAAGTTAACTTGTATTCTCTATAGTCCCAAATGAAATCTTTTAAAAGAAGCAAACATCTGAGAAATAATACAATCGTCTGTTTACTTTTGCTTTCTGTACCCAATAAGTTAGGAAAAAAGTTATATTTAAAGGAATTCACGTTACATCTTTTTAATCAACAAGCACCAAAATCCAGCTGTTCAGAGAATTAATACAAGGCAATATCTGGGTATAAGATTAAAAGAAAAATTTCAATAAACACATTTTCTGTGTATAAAGCTTATTAAAAACTTATTCATTCTCTGAATGATGGAAGTAAGTGGTATGTGTTGGGAGAATAAACTCTAAAGGTTTGTGGTTTTTTTGCTCTTTTTTGTTTTTAAGTCTTACCCTCTCCTTGCTCCACTAAAAAAGAAATGCATTGTGTAGAAGCTATGGTTTACTAGCTTGGTTATTCTGCTTGGTGTTTTGTGAGGCACTGTAGAAGGCCACCTAAGATGCGTTGTACTGTGTAACTACATGGCACGTTGAGGTAAAATGTGGTTCTAAAAAAGATTTGAATATTCTGGTTGATGGTGTTCCTGGGTGTACTGGTCTCACTCACATGCTGTGGAAATCTCTACCAGTACAACAGTCTCTGCAGGCCTTACCACAGACACCCTTCACCTGGTTTCTATGTTGGGTTTTACATTCAACATGTACTTACATCCCTGCTACCTGTATGTCCATGCAGACTTACAGGCTACCTGGCCATGATAGATGGTTTTTATAACAAAATGCCTTTCTACTACTTACATGAACAGTTGTCATTGTGTTTGGCTCATGAGGCACTATTTAAAATGTTTTTAATTAAAATTATAGCACTTAAAATTGTTTTGTATAAAATTTGCTGTAAAGATTTGTAATATGGTCAAAGGGCTCTTTCTCCTTCATTACCATTTTTAAAAATGTTTTAAAAGCTAGAAAGCATCTTGTATATATTCTGTATATGTATAGCAGCACATTTCATTTATGGAAATATGTTCTCAGAATATTTATTTACTAATATATTTATCTTAAGCCATGTCTTATGTTGAGAGTGTGTGACATTATTGTAATAATCATTGAAAATCACTAACACGAGGCCCTGTAAATACATGATAATTGCACACAAAGATTTTACAGTACCTGCCGACCAAAAATGATTTAAGAGAAGTTGTAGTTACCTGCAGTTTTGTAAGAAAGTGTACAAATGTCTGTATTAAAAGAAAAAAAAAGGCAAAACCACACAAAAATACAGTTTTATTGCATATACATGTGGTAGTTGTTCTTCTTGTTTTGGGGGTAAGGACACAGATAGTTGTTCTCCTCAAAGTACAGTCCTAGATATGCTGAGATGAACTCTAATAGACAACATTTTTTCTTTTTTTTTTTTTTTTAAATAATAGATAGGTGGATATGTAAATACATACACACACATAGACATCATAAGTGGTTGTGGTCTCCTTTGGAGGCAACCCATAATGTTCTTAGGATCGTTCAGTTTTCACTGAATGCCACAGTCGAATTTACCAGGTGTTGTGCACAGTGTCAGTCCAGCACTGGACAGTTGTAACTGCCCCCAGGTGTGAGTGGACAGGGTGGGTGATCCTGAGGGTGCCTCAGTGTCCCTGCTCACACCTGGCTGTGGCTGCTGTTGAGGTGGGGGAAGCTCCATTCCCTGGGGGGGGGAACAAAGGTTACAGAGGGAGGCAGGCACAGAAGGAAAAGCAAAGGCTTAGGAAAGCCTTTATGTTTGGAACCTGCCGGTTCCTTGTGGCAGGGCAACTTAATTCCGGTATAATTTGAGGTAAAAATAATTTACTGTCCTGAAATAAAATGGTTTTGAGACCTGAACCAGCATGATGGAGGTGGATGCAACTGGATGAATCATAGCTTGAATAGTCAAGCTAGATCCAAATCCTTGCCTTGGATCATGAAATCACTGGTCCCACTGAAGTGATAATCAGTGCTGTGCTACTTGTTTTGTCAGCAGAGAGCACAGTTTGACCAAAGATGTCTATGCAGATGCTGAAAGAGGGGGGCCTGGGGATATGTGGCAGTCTGTGTGTGTGTGTGTATACATTTATGTGATACATGTTTGTATGTTATTGTGTAAACAGTTTGCCTTCATGCATATTTCCCATACAGAGATACACACCCACACAAATACACACAAAAAAATCTTTTCCAGACTCCTCCTCCAGTTTCTTCCTTCTCCCAGAGATTTTTACCCTGGACTCTCCCCTCCTTATCCATGTTCAAGTGCACTGTAATTCAGTCACCTCAGGATTCAGCCAAGAAATGAGCCTTAATTCTCTCCAACCCCCTTTGTACGTGAAAACTCCATGTTTGGGATGACAGCCTGTTGAACTGGAGTGTCATTTTGCATGGGAGCCTTTGTGGCAGGAGGATCAGTTATCATCCTCATCTCAGGTACAATGGGAAAGCCTGTCTGTATGCCAAGACAGGCACAATAATGGAAGAGCAACAGGCAGGCAGGAGTTAAGAAGCATCAGCAAGCACTTCTCAATTAAAGTACCTGCCCCTTTTTCCACTTGGAAAATGGAATCCTGGCAATCGCCAATGATTATAGATACGTATTTTATCTGCAAATCAGGTCATTAAACAACTGTTTTTACAAACAGCATAAAACTTGCCATCTGTGTTTAGCTGATGCACCTGTGTTGACAGGTCACATCTGAGTCTCCTTCCTTTTCCCTTCCTCCACCCCCCCACTTGTTATTGTTGACTTGTGTTTTGTTTTCTTGCTTCTTGTTCTGAAGAAAACTGTGGGGTGACTGTGCCTTTAAGAGCAGGGCATAGCTTACTCTTGCTGTCCCATAAAATAATCAGTGAGCCCATCCTCTCTTTCTGTGAGAAAGACAGTTGTGGGCTGCTGGCTGAACTTGTATGTGATGCTTAGTTGTGTGCCTGATATTCTGTTTCTTCTTTGTTGTGGCTTTTTTTAAAATGACTAAATGTAAATATTTTCTGTCAGAAATGAAAATTTTGATACTTGGCAGGGGACGGTTCTTTTTTCTATTGAGGTTCAATGTTTAAGGAACAAATCTGTGGCAAAATGAGAGTCCTGTGGGCACCACAAACCTCCACAGAATCTCGATACCGTAAAAAAAGACAAGCAGGAGCAGACTATTCTTAATGGATTGTACATTATAGTAACACTTGGTGTTTCTGTAACATTATCTGCAATATCATGTGCATCTGTCAAATCCTGTGACAGCTGTTAGGTAACGTTTGTTGTTACTTGGGTAGTGTGAAGAGAAAAATGCCCTTAAAAGGATGGCTGTGTTCATACCCCGTGGAGCCAGCCTGGCCTAATTCTTTGGCCAGGGAGACAACAGCATACCTGAAACTGGATATTTTATCTTGCAATGAAAGCGCCGTGCCCCTGTGACTTAAATGCTTCATAGAAAAGCGTCTCTTTCAGAATCAAGAACACATTTCTCTCATGGGGAATGAAACTGTTGCTTAGGAAACAGCAACAGAAAAAAAGGCAACAGTTCCCAGAATAAACCAAAGTGCAAGAGGAGTCTCATAACCGGAATGGCAAGAAAGGAGAGCAGAGTAACCTACCCTGTCTAAGGGGAGGCCAGTCCCCTGTGACAGTTGCGTTTCTAAGAGAAAAAGAGAGTTTGAGTCTTCACATGAAAAGCTGGAGACAGTTTGGGTATCTGACACTGGTATTCTGGTGTTTACATAAAAGGTCACTGAAGATTTCCTAAACTGTAGCATTATTTTGGTCAGGAGGAATTAATTAAAGAAAAGATGAATCTCACAAGTAAGTGGAAACAGCATTACATGTTACTGCAATTCTTAAAGAAAACACTGAAAGAATTGTTACAGTTCTTTGTAACAGTTTGAAAACAGGTAAACTGAAAACTTTCAATTTGCTGTTACCTCAGAAATTGTGTCTCAGAGCAATATTATAGTTTACATATGTAATCATTCTCAGCATTTTCAGCTCAAATATTCTCTTCTAACCTCCACAGCGGACAACCCCATTGTAATCTGCTGGTGAACTGCAGTAGTTTCTGCCTCCTTTATTCCATGCTTGTACACACATTTGCAGTCCTAACTGAACTCCTTCTGCACAAATGTATTTATTTTTTCATAATTATTATTTACAGCCATTTGTTGAATGCAGGGTGACCAGCTATAAACACAGCACATATTTTAGAGGTGAGTCATCTCAAGTTTGATTTATTCTGGTTTCTTGACAGCCTTATGTGGTTCATGCCTTTGCATTTGTAGTAAGTTGTCTTGAGACTGAAATTCAGAATGCTGAGTTTCACCCCAAAGCACAGGTGCTCAGTAAATTTGAGAAAGTATGAGCTGCATGAAATGTATATGTATCAAAAATGTGTTGTTATAGGAAAAATAGTGTGGTCTGAAGAGAATTCTGTTTTTCACTCTCAAGGTAGCAGAATTCATAAATGAGTAGCAGAGTTCATAAATGCCTAGAACAATATTCAGGTGAAACTATCACTGAACTATATTTCATTGGAAGATTGTGAAATATTGATGCAAGGTATTAAGAACTAGTTGGACAAGTATTTGTCAGTTGTTTTTGTAGTTCACCCTTCCTTTAGGCAAAGTGGTGCACTAGAAAAATCTGTTAGTAGTCCTTCCCACTGCCTGAGAAGGCTCATTAAGCAGAAGATGAAAGTGGAATAGCTACTCATGCTCATTCAGTGGCAGCCATGTGTCTGCTGATGGGTTTGGTCTGTAGTCATACAGGCTGCACATTCAGTACAGCTTCCAGGACTATCCGTAAAAATCTCCCATTTATACTCCTGCCAGGGGGGCTTGGAATACAAACACCATAATTCTGCAACCCCACTAAGTTGTCTGCATGAGCAATGTGATAAACTTCCTCAGCATTGTACTGGCTGTAGAAAATCTGGCAGAAGCAAGTTCTAAAAAGGACGATGTTAATGCTTTGAAAAAGCAGATTATCTGTTTGAAGGAAAAAAATGGTTCAGAGAGTATATGCATATGAATTTGTAGAATCTGATGAACAGCCTAATACAAATACAAGCTAGAAATGAGATTCAAAGGAGGTAAGTGCTTCTTAAAGCAATTGTTTCATCAGCATCTATTTGGCCATAGAACTGAGTCTGAGTTACCCTGTTCTCAATGACCTTCTGTTATAGATACCAAAAAAGTATCTTTGATTTTTTTCCTACAGTTACAGTGTATAGAAAATTTATTTTTCCCAGAGTGTAAACTAACATCTTTTCTTCCTACAAAATGTTAGCAAGATACAAGCATAATATGCTGTATTAAATAATGCATTTCCTATACATATATAAATATATATATTACTATGATAACATATCACACATTTTTACATAACACAGTCTCTATTTCCCCACAACATAACAATATTAAGACAAAAATACATATAAAATCATTTAGTCAACAAACTAAACTAGTTTTAAACATAGATTTTGAATTAGGGAAGGCACTTGTCCAGCTGGCCCCTTTCCACCTGAGGTGCACATACAGTGTAGGCTCTGGCACACAGCGTCGAGGCGGCAGCTCGCACATTGCTGCAGTGGCAGTGCCAGCAGAAGCACTCGCTGCCCCAGCTTCTGGGGCAGACAACTGTCTTTTTCCTATGGCTTATTGTCCACTTAGCTGTGTCAGCTCATCTCTCTCTGCAACCACCCAATAAACAACATCAGAGAACTCATCTCTGTGAAAAGTAACTCAGAGAAGAAAAGGCGATGGCAATTTTTGACCTGTCGGTTTATTGCAGCACCACACAGCCGGTCAGACCGACACCAGAGTGACAAGGGGGCCGGAGCTGGAGCTGGAATGCATGTATGTATATGAGGAGGCATCTCCTCAGGATTATTTTGTTGTCAAAACAGTTGCTTTTGACATTGTAGCCAATGTCAGACTTGCAGCCTGTCCAGCCTGTTGAGGGAACTGATAGGCAGGACATCAGAAGGCCATTCAGATACAATTCCAAACAAATTCTTCTTCTGCAGTTATTTTCACTTTGCTGAAGAAAGTAGTGTAAACAGTAACCTCCTGAGGTGTCCGTGCTCCCCAGCTGTCAGCACTCAGCTGCTTGTGTAGTAGGGGCATGCTGAATCATGTGGGATTACAACAGTTGTGCATGGCACACGTTTTGTTTCTCTCTCCCCCCAAACCCTTACAGCAAATATAAAAAGTGCTATGTTAATGGATACCATATACCTTGGCCATATACCACCACACCCTGAAGTGCTTGTACGAGCAGTGTGAGTGACCGAACCACATTTGGAAAAAATTCACAGCAGAGATCTACCTGCTCTTTAAGGTCTCAGGCCTGTACAGTAACAAGTGCTATTTAAGGGCCCCTGTCCATGCATTTCTATCTATTGCTCTGTTTGCAAGCATTAGAGGTATCTAGAATCAGATAATCTGGAAGATTTAGAGGGGTGGGGGGGAAATGGGGACCTCACAATTTCCACTGAGCTTTTATCATTATGTTACCCATGCACTGTCCAATACCTTCTGCATAGTCATGTTTTTTGTTGCCATGACCAGTTAATCTGCTGTAACTGCTGGTTTTATGGGTCTTTTGTACAGAAATTTGATAAGCATTCCCTAAGAAAGGCCCATGAAATGCGATTTTATTATATAAAAAACAGTTGAGAAGCTAAGGGACTGATGCAAAAATCTCTTTCTAAATTCTCTAGATTTTTCATTAGTGGCTTCAGTCTTAGCTGTTGTTTTTAATGCTTGTCTCCAACTTTATAGTGAACTTTAATTCTTTACTAAGGAAGAGGAGCCTAGCAGTTCTGTAGTTTCCTGCAGTAGGTAAAAATCAGTCATGGGGCATTCCTGATGTTTTTTTCAGTTTATCAGCAGTAGCTAACTGCTTTGTGAATGTCTCTATTACTCTATATGTTTAACTGCTCATGAACATTTGATGAGGCAAGCAAGCAAAGCTTCACCAGTTTGTGATAAGCACTGTGTGCTCATAACAACTCTTAAGAGTCTGGGCACCACACTGCAATTCTCTCCTCCTGGTTTTCTATTAGTGCACCACATTAAGCACGCTCAGGAACCAACCTACTTTGTTCTGCTATGAATCCGTGAGTTGGACTCTTTCTCTGTGCAGCATGATGCAAAGCCTGACTGTTAAAAAGGCAGTTTCAGAATTTTTGTTGGTTTGAGGCAGATAATGTGTTTTGGTCTAACATGAAGGCACGGAAGAGAGAACCAGCAGCATACTTTTTACAACTCGTCCTATCTTGATTTTAGGTAATAACGTAATTATAGTTTCCTATATTCTTTCCAGCAGCTCATGCAAGAAAGTACTAGATGTTCCCATGATATTCCATTTTTGATATAAACAATTTCATAATTGCTGGCTTAGTAAAGGTCTTGTTTCTTTTAGGCACATATGGTGGCATTGTTCAGCTGTTGCTGGCACTCATCTGTGCTACATAAATAGAGCTGGATTGAATTCAGTTCAGGTAAAAGACTAGATCTACAATGGCAAGTAAGGCACAATATTTCATTGTTTAATTCTTAGATGCCCTATTTTTTCAAGGAAATCTGTAGCCCACATGAAGGGGAGGGAATTATATGTTAAAAAACATAAGGGCAGATACTATAATGAATTTGAACTTGGTGACAATTTTCTTTTCTTAGTTACCTTTTGTAGATGCTCTTAATAGATGTTCTCTGACTGCATGTATGGTATGTCTCAAATATGCAGACCATTGGTATATGTTTAAACTTAACCAGTTTAATGGTTCTCAGTGAATTTCCTCAAACATAGTTTGAGGAGCTGCTCACTCAGTAAACTTTGCCAGTCAGTTTATCTGTCTTCTGCACTGACAGTTTTTCCTAAATATCTTGATGCTCTGAACTTGCTGAGCCTGAAAGACTCACTGTTGATCCCACTTAGGCTGCTGAGAGTAATATCTGTAACTTCAGAGTAAAAATTTGTTAGCTTCACTGTTTAAAAATTCAGTAGATTTACAGTATCTCTGGGCAATCCTTTAAGAAGCCCTGAGCTTACACCCAGAATGGATGCTGGACTTCAGGCTGGAGTACAATGGTTTTTTAAAGGATCACTGTGAATATGAACAAAATTATCATAAACATCAGTGAATGATGGGTCAGACACAGTCATTTAAAAGGCTTCATTGCTCGTGCAGGCCTTGACCTGGTGAGCAGGACTCCATCAAAACGTGTATTTGCAGCTGATACTTGATAGAGCACCTCCTGAATTTGATTTTCATTTGTGCATCTCTGCTTGTAGAAACAGCAGAGCACTGGGCAACCAGGCTGATATATTTTCCAAGTCTTTGGCTCCCATTTTACTGTACAGTACCATTTAGACGTGTTTACATTAAGGCCAATAAGCTCTGGTTGCTGTGGCAGCCTATCTGTACCTACCTCTGTCTTCAGCCTTGAGAATAAAAGGACTAAAGTAGCCTGATAAAATACAGTGATACAGGAAAGCAGGACACAATAATTCCTCAACCTGCAGATATTCACTCAGTTACCTCTGGCAGGGGTACAGGACAGTTTGAATTTTACAAGTTTTTACATATATTTTAAGTGCAGTGGTTTAAAGGCAGTAATTAAGAGCACTACAGATTTGATGAGCACCAGATACTTCAAAACTATTGCTGCAGTTAAATCTGTTGTCACTAATATACCCAAGAGAACAGCAGATAGGCAAAGTCACTCAAAGGTCTTTGGAAACGGACTTTTTGGAAAACAAGTATGAGACTGGGAGAAAAAAAGGAAGGACTAATCTCAAGTCACCTGGATTTTAAGAAGATCAATTCTTGTAAAACAGAAGGCACTTTAGTTTCCCACGAGTGGGTTGCAATCATCCTGCTGATTTCGGAGCTTTTTCTTGAAGATGGATATCGATGTGGATGGCTGGTAAAATATACTCCAGATCTCACCGGCAGTGGTGACATCACTGCAATCTTCAGTGTCACTTGTGGATGGAATCTGATGGGATCTAGGAGACAAGGGTGAATTCCCTCTTGTATTAGGGTGCTTGGGAAGCTGCAGTGGTCTGTCTGTAGTGCTGCTGCACTGGGAATGCTCACAGCTTCCTCTACCTCTGTGACACCTTTTCTTTCTCCCTCTGCACAATACAGAGGTTTTTGGAGCATTTCTTGGTTGTCATGACCAAATGAAAAGTTAGGTATTCTACTGCCAGAATAGTTGCTACCCTAACAACAGCAGTGACATTAAGATAAGAAATCTGTACAGACTCTGTTACGAGTTGCTATTAATACAAATTAATTTCCTTTTATATTTAAGCTTGTTTTTAGTATGTAAACACAATATTCAGAATTTTGATTTGCTGCTAACTCGTCTATCATTTCATTCAATGAGCGTCCATCTAGAGGACACAAAACTTACTTGGTATAAGCGTAGAAAAATAAAGCAATAAATTATATTGTTTTTATTAATAGGCAAAAAAATCTGGTTAAGTGTCACGTTATAATACAGAGCTGAGATCTTAGTTCTCTGGGGACAGCTTTGCTCCACACTCACCTCATGGTAACGTGGAGAATTATCTTTGCTATTATGGCTGTAACACTTAGGATGAGCAGTGCTGTGAGACTGTATATTGTCCACTCTGTAAAAGAGAAGAACAAAAGGAGAGGGGGAGGGGGGAAGTTGTTAGTACATTCATTTACTTACAGCTTTTAAAGTAAGAATATTGCACAAAAGAAACACGCAGCCTTCTGACACTTTATTCAAAACTGTAATTTGAAGATGCCTCAAACCTACAAGACTGGCAGAAACTGTACAACTTTCAGTCAGAACTGGCTTTTCCCTTGCAGGACTGCTCCCTATAAAGTTGAAAGTTGGCAAAAGTCAAAGCATATACCAGTAAAATTATCTAGGAAAGGCACCAAAACTTAGAAGAAAATTTAAAAGCAGACTAGAATATATGCTACAGTAGCAACTGTTATGATTGCAAGGAGGTGGTCCAGGTTTTTATCAGTAATTATGTAGTTATGTAAGAAATCACAAAGTATGGAATGGGAGGAGTGTCTTCTAGAGTCCTGAGACAGGTGATCAGTATTTGTGGTCTGCTCTTGGCCATTGCACTTTATATTTCAATTTAGTTCTGGTTGTAGGAGCAAGTCAAGCAGGACCCATTGTGTCATTGTAACATTAAGTTCTTGACACATGGCAGTTCTCAGTGGCACCTCCCTTGCACCCATGAACTTGTCCAGCCTTCTTTGTATTATTGATGAAGCTTTTGTTAATTGGGGTGACTGGGATGCATCCAGCATTCAAGCTTTTCTAGACTCTACAAAAGCTTGCTCTTTTTTTTCAGCAATTTGTGCCACTCTCAAGTATGCACTGGTCACTGAAGCTCATTCTAGTGAGGAGGCTGCTCTGACTCACGTTTTATTTTGATGTGTTTTCCTTCTCAAGAAAGAACTCACCGTCTTCACACTATTTCTCATTTATGCTGAGAAGTAAGTTTTGAAATGTAAGGAGAGAATCACAGTTAGTGCTAATTAGACTACATGAAAATTCATCTATTAGTAAGATGCACAGTGAATCAGATAATGTGGAGGGGGAGCAAAGGAAATAGTGACTCCAGACTGTGCGTTGGCAAAATGTTTTCCCTGTTTCCACATTTTATTGTAATATTACCAGGCATGGAGCTGGTAGGATGACTTGGGCTGGTTGTGATGACATAAAGTATCTTTGATGACCGAGCTGCATTGATGCTGAGATTTGCTTGTTCATTTATCCTCTCTGAAAGGGTGTGATTCACTGGAGTCTTGTTTTGATGCACATTGTCCTTCACAGCTGAAAACACAAGAGTATGATTAAAATAACAACTTCTTAACAGGTGTAATTTTGTGCTTGTAAACAGAAGTGCTGCTCTCTGGTTTACTTAAGAGAACTCAATCAAATTATGTCTGATTCCAGAAGAAGCCTGTATTTCACTAGGTTGGGGTTCTCAGAATTTTTCTGGAAGCTAATTGTTCATCATAGCAGTAGGTACAACTCAAGGACCAAAACGTGTTCTCTTCATGACTTTCGATCAGAGAGGAATAAACTGTTGGAAGGAGACAAGAGGAGCTAAAATGCTCCTTATTTGTTTCACTTTTTGTCATTTTCTAATCTGTTTTGATAGGCAGGTATAGCATTGAATTTTTGAAAACCTGAACTTTGCTGTTTGTGACATAGCTGACTGGAGTGTTCCAAATTGAGAAAATTTTTGGCAAAGCTTTTACCCACTGTGCAGTGGCAACAAGAGAGATAAAACACCTGCTAAATGAGAGTTAAAATATTTGCTCTTTCATTGCCACTTCAGAAGTCTCTTGTGTGAATTAAATGTTTCACTGAAAGGTAGAAACAGGAAAGTTAGCCTCTCACCTCTATATCTGATAGCAAATCCCTGGGCTTGATTGATGTCATCTGAGAAAAAGTACAAAATGACAAAATCCAAAGAGATGTTAAAGGTGTGGGGAGGCCGGTTCTTGCCATTAAAACGAGCTAGAACATGATAGGTATAGCCATCCAGCAATTCCACCATATCTGTAGCATCTTTGATTTCAAAAAGGGCAAAGCTGAAGTGGATTCGAGATGCTCCTGGAACTTGTATGGTCCAGTAACAGACTTTGCCTGTGCCATATGTGTCAGGAAAATCTGGGGAGTAGATCACAGCTGTAGCAGAAGTGTAATTCCCTCCACAGGCACCAATAAGGGCTGTGAAAACAAGAAAAGAGGGAGAAAATGGGGGGAAAAAAAAGAGGTTACACATTAATTTTGCAAAACTTTAGCACCCTGTAGATTCCAATACTTGAATGTGACTTGCAGGTGCAGACTTGCTATGCCAGCAGGATGCACTGTCTCTGGGACTGGTATTCTTTACCTTCCACGGCACTGGGAGCACGGCCATTACATTGCATTTCCTTGGAATAGGCTCCTCATGTCTCATTACTCAGACCTGTGCATCAGTCTTGAATACTGAACTCTCCTTTGTCCTTGCAGGTAACCACATACCCTTTCCCACATCCCCGCAGGAACAGGATAAAAGATAAATCACTGATTCAGGGGCTTCTACTCCATCCCTGTGAGGCAGGGAGGCAAGTGGATTAGTGATTATTAACTCTCACTGTTGAAGTACTGAAACTCCTTCACAGCTGTATCAAATTGAAAAAACAAACATTCGCAGAACAAATGAGTTTGGAAGGGACCCTGAAGACTGTCCACTCAAATCCCCCTGCTCAAAGCAGGAAACAGTGTCTAGTTGTATTTTGAGACTCCAAGGATGGAAACTCTACAGCCTGTCTGGGCAATTTGTTCTAGTGTCACCCTGACCATAAAAAAAGGTTTTCCTTTTGTTTAAATGTATTTTCCTGTATTTCAGTTTGTGCCTTTTGACTCTTACCTATTCACTAGATAACACTGAGGAGAGGCTGGCTTCATCTTTACACCCTCCCATCAGTTAGTTACACAAATTGAAAAGGTTCCTCCACGCCTTCTTTTATCACAGCTGAACAATCCAAGTTCTCTCAGCCTCTCCTTGTATGAATGATGCTGTAATCCCTTAATCACCTCTGTCGCCATATATATGAGCTTTTCAAGCCTCCTGTCTTTTGATCTTGTCCAACTAATATTTGACCTTACCTTCACTAAGTAAATTGAAAAAGATCCTGTTACAAAGTCTAAAGAAAAGATTTGTTGCTACCTTTTATATTAGAAACAAGTACATGCCCAATACATTGTTATATTCCCTGACAACTATCCAGATTCCCAGTGCAAAGTTAATTACCAGTGAATCCAGAGAGCAACTCAAATGGCAGCCAACTGAGGATGCATATCTATATATACACGTATAATTTTTAAAATATATTAGAGAGAGGTATATATGCATATATATGCATAATATATATATGTAATATATATGTAATTAATATATATATTATATAACGCATTTTATGTCAAAGCTGTTTGAATCAAAGTTATCAAAGTTATCATTCTCCAAAGACTGAAGAATCAAAGTAGAATTATTGTCTCTGAAAGCTTGATTAAATCCCTGTAAGACAGGCCTGTGAGAATGGAAGTAAAGGAACTGTTTTAAAGTGTCTCAGTTTTCACAGGCCTCTGAGAAAAAGCTTTAATAAATACAAATTAAAAGGAAACTCTGGGAACAAGAAGTAGCATATGTCTGCCAGAAGAACACATGAAAATATTTCTTTTTCTGGAGCAGGGCCTGATCATAGCCTTAACAAACCTTGTACTTGAGTGTGCACTAGGAAAGACCTAATAGAGGAACTGAAAGAATATGAAAGAATAAGAACAGAAAGAATATGAAAGACCCCACGGAGGTACTAAGGTACATAGGGGAATTTGTGTTTGGCACTCACTCCACGCTAACACAGCTGGTGATTGAATCCAATAGATAGAATTGTTCAAATAGATAGAACAGATACAATTGATAGAACTGAAATTTGTCACTGAGATACAGAATTTGGAAATAGCTTACAGGTATTGTTACATTTGACTGTGCTGTTTGTAACTCCCGAATCACAAGAAGTTTTTCAAGCTAGCAATACTAACTAAGAGTGCCAATGACTAGTGCTCCACAGATGCCTAGCAAAGCATATGGCATATTTCCATTCCATATGGAATGGAAATGCTTTCCCTCTCTCATTTCCTTCTAGAGCTGGGAGAGTTCTGTGTTGTGGGTCTAAATGTTACCGCATTGGACTGTGATAGTAACACATAAACATAAGGATAATGGGGCGAGGGGGAAGTGTGTGTGTGTACAAGGATTGCGGTGGAGGTTCTGGGGATATGACATAATGTGAAACAGAGACATGAGGGGAGCAGGTGTTGCTCACCAGGAAAAGCAAACAGGTAGCTGCTACTAGGATGACCTCTCTTACCTGGCCACAGCTTTCAGGTAAACGTTGCTGTTTACCAGAAAAGACACTGCAGGTCCTCAGGGTAGCATTTGCTGAGCACTCAGTCACTCTAGAAAAGGAAAGCTACAAAGGAAGACTTCACCCACTGAGGATTTGATAGGCCAAGAGCAGAAGGAAACAGAGGATGCTGCAATGTGATGCTACCAGTGCTATCTCAGCACTGGAAGTAACATGCAACTCTGGTGCATCTTTTCATATCTTGGGGAGAATCTGGAAACAAGCAGAGTGAAAGTCCCACTGAAATGTCTTTCTGTCTCACTAACTGGGAACCTGAGTTGTAAAGTATGGAGATGGGAAGTTTGTTTGTGTGATCAGAAGGTGGAATATGATGCCACTTTTAGTTCCAGAAAGTCTTTAACTCAAAAGGTAGCTTCTACATCAAAGGCAGTTGAGATTGAGAAGCAATGATATGTTGGTGCAGTTTCCCAATACTCTCAGCTATACTGGGAGCTTGTACTGCAGCTGGACAACCAGTGACTCACACCATCTACCTCTGAACTTACACAACTGGCACTGGTACATAAACTGAAGAGTAGAAAGGAGGATTTCTATGTATAAGACATGAAATCAGAGATGGTCATAACAGCAACCTAACTTGATTGTACTTTCACAGTATATTTCTCTGTCTCAGTCCTACCTGCATTGCTTTGCATTGTGTTAACTGTGTCATAGCAAATATGTTTAATTAAAAAAAAAAGAAGTTGGTGTATATTCAAATTTTATTTGAGGTGCCTCATTCATATATTTACTCTCTAGTAAGGTCAATTCTTAAGGTGTCTTTCTGTTGTGACATGCTGTTTCTCATAGCTGAGTTAGTAAGAGCCAATCTCCAGAGCACGAGCAGGCATAGTTTTTTGGAAGAGCTATTTCATGTTATTAATGGTTGAGAATCTTATACAGAAATGCAAAGCAGCTTTATCTTATATTGAATTTAGGTGTTTTGCTGTTTTGTGTGGAACAGTTCTCATTGTACTTAGAGCCTTTTCCCTAATTTGCTGAACATTTGAGGCCTCTCCTTTGGGAAAAACTGAGCCTGCTTCAATACTTACTGTCAAAAAGAATGACTCTGCCATCCCCACCGCAAGGCTGAGTATGGTCTCCAAAGCAAACACTGTTGCATTCCGTACTGGCTGCCTCCCCGTATCTCCAGTAGTCAGGGTTATTTCCGCAGAAACAGGCATAACCTGATTCCATGCCTGCAAACTTTGACAACAAAGATGCATAAGAAGGGAGGAATAACATTTGAAGGAGTGACAGCGGGAGGTTGTATGAGCAAGAAAGCTGGCAGCAGAATATGTGTGTTTTGGAGAAGTATGATTAGTCAGAGGAACCACCACAAACTGTTTTTGTTTGAGCTGTCAGGATGCTACTTAAGGCTAGTGAGAAACATGGAATGGAGGACCGTTAGGGTGCCCTGTCACTCATAACTGCAGTAAGCAAGCATACTTTCTCCTGGCATCCTGGCATTTGTCCAGATTGCTCTGGATGCAGACAGAGGGATACAGATCTCTTGGAGTGGAAGTGAGACCTTAGACCTCCTAAAGGTTAAAAAAAAAAAGGGGGGGAACGGGAGAAATACGAGAGAGAGCTCTAGGCATACTGCTGTCTTTGAAAACATTTGTAAATGTATGTCAAAGAAATCACCTTAAATTGTTGACTTCGGCAGGAACTGATGCACGTTTGGATAGTAAGTTTATTGGAGGTCTCACTGGTGCCAGTCAAAGGTGGTGGTTCTCCATGGTCCTTGTAACACCCCAGATTCCCTGGCACTGGCAAGAGCAACAGACAACAGTCATTCTAAAGGTGTGCCTGTAAACATCCAAAACACAGCCCACTTTATGCACTACCAGTATGGGAAGTGTTACTCTATGCTAGATCCTTGTCATATTTTCCAAACATGCACAGGGATAACTGAAGGGGCAAGATATCATATCTTCTTAGCAATATACCTGTAATACTCTCTGGTTGGTTCCAGTAATCTGCAGTAAAATAGACAAGATAAATACCTGGTTCATTTCTCCTGACAGAGACAGTTAAAAAAAAAGAGAAAGGCATTAAGTAGTTTCAGAGGGTTTGTGGGTATTTTTTACTATGAGCATGCATATTCTAACAATATAAATTAAACTATGTGATTTCTGTCTGATCTTCAAAACAATAACATTCTGGAAGTTTTCAAAACAGGATATTTGAGGAAGGGAACCTAAGCTGGTTTAGAATGGAGTTTGGCAAATTTTATGGGAGGGACTGTGCACTTATATAGGGGAATTTCCTAATATTTAAAACTTGAATTCTGAGATGAATTTGAAGTATCATACAAAGAGATAAAAAATGAGCAATATCACTTTAAAAACCCCCTATTTTTCTATCTATTTACATTAATACAATGTTTCAAGGCTCCTTGGTCACCATGGGAGCTCAGTTTTCCCCCTTCAGTGCACAATTTGTCCTCTGTTTTTGTTTTGGTTTGGTTTTGCACTTTTCATCAAAGCACTGGAATTTAGCCATGACCACCCCACGGAGAGGATGTGGAGTACAATATAATACTGGGCTAATGGCATAAAATTACCCCTTGCCTACTTGTCATATCTGCTCAGATACTTGAAATTAAATCTATTCCCAGTTCTATGGTAAGGTAAGTGTTTTTTCCTATGCCAGATTGACAAGGATTCTTTTTTGTCCACCTAACTGCCACAGCTCTGCATGACATGTGATGTGGTCAGGGAGCTGTATTAAGAGTTTTATTTATTCAGTCATTTTTTATTTCAGTACCCAGTAAACATAATGTTGCTTCAAATATTGTTCATAATTTCCTAAGAATGACACAATTTCAATTATAAATACTTGCATGGAGTTATGGCTTTGATATGCCCTGCAGCAAAATGCATATAAGTACTGAGACTTCAAGTTACAGCCTGATTTAACATACCTTTGGAAATCCCCATTTGCAGCCCCACCCCAGCTGAGTACAGCTGGGCAGATAACTCTCAGAGAGCTCATTTTTTTGGCATTGTGCATGCTTTCACTGCTCTGAAAAAGCTTCCTAGTTAACCAACCTAGCTCATTTCCCTAAGAGACCTGGGATTTCGTAATTTTTTTAAAATTTTTGAAGTAGCTTTATTGGTGAGACCCTTCAACCTTATCTCCAGACAATTAGCACTTTAATATGTGCCATGCTAAGAAATCTGACAGAGTAATTTGAAAACCTTTTAAATTTTGTAACTAAATCAAGCGTACATCCTAAAGCTAATTAGCCTCTTTGGTGTCCCAGCAGTATTTTAATTTTCTTTGCTCTTAATATTTAGCCTACTAAAGAAACTTGGCAAAAAATGAGGTAGTCAGTGTTCTGCAGTTACTGTTCATGCTGACCAGTGATGTTTTACTATTAAATTGTCTTCACCTGTTTGTATTTATTTGTTCTCTTGTGCTTAAGAGGTCACCTCTTTTGTGCAAACATACTATTTTTCTTTTAAGCAGTATCTGACATAATGAGGTCCTGGCAAAAACCACAGCTTCTGCATTTTACATGCCAAGGCACATGTATTAAAACATGGAATTAATCGTTTTGAGCTCAAAATCATGTTCCAGCTATGCTCATCTAGTTGTCTTTCAAGAGCCTCCTAGCCTTTTGCAATGGTAGTGTGCACCAGTACACTGTCTCAAATGGTTTGAGCTCTCTGCTCTTGTGTTAAAACGCAGGCAGGTCAATCTTACAGGGTGATCCTGGCTCTGCCATTTAACACTTCATCGATATCTCAGTCAAATTTATTACATTACATACGTGCACACTGGAAAAACAATTCCAGTAATGAAATCTGTTTATGGGAAGGAAGTCACACAGGTCATAAACACAGAGATGCAGTTAAGTGGGATAGTAAGCCTTTCTTTTACATTTTGGGAGCATAAGTTGTTATCTCCTTTGAGTTTAAACCTAACCCCATTAACAAGGAGACCAAGAAAGTCAGGAGTAGCTGCGACATTGCAAACAAACCATGTAAAGCATTCAGTTCTGAACGGTCCATGTGAGATGCACATGTTCTCTCAGGACTCAGAGCTGCCGTCTTGACTTTTACTTTGTTTTTGTTCATTCCAGTCTGCTTAGCAGACAAGACATTAAGAAGAAGAGAGGAAGAAAAGGAAAGACTAAGCTCCTACTGGGGTAACTACTGCTGTCTTCTGTGATTATGCTCATCCATCTTCCTCCAACACTGCTAATTTCTGTACAGCGTGTCTGCACATGCAGAGTGCCAGAACGCACTTCTGACTGAAACATTTAGTGTTACGTATAAATATTAGTGAAGGAGACACATGATATAATCATGTGAAATCATCATCATAATGCAAAAGTCTTAACTGTAGATTCTTAATTATTGTTACAGTGAATCATTGCATGCAAATCTCTCTGGGCAATCAAGACGCTTCATGTTGTTGGCATTGTCACGGTGTTATGTGGGTATAGTTAATAGGGAACTTATGCTCCAGATACTTGTCTTTTCTAGCAGTAAATATGATTATGGAAAAGAAGCTTATACTCCTCTAAAAATTTTCAAACAGGATTTCTTTACATGATTGCTTTCTTGCTCCATCACAAACCTCAGTTTTGTATTGTGTACTTCACGAGACAGTTTTGATGGTCCTCTGATTTAGCAACATGCTTACTGAAAACAGAAAATCTGGTGAAGAATAAAAGATTTTTTTACTTACACAGTAAACCATGAGGTTTGTATTAAGATTTGGATGGGCTTGCAATGTACAGTTTGCTCTAAATTGCTGCAATTCCTTTTACTAGTATTGAGTTTCAGTGCAATTCTTGAAGCAGCTGCTACTGGTCAAAAGGACATTTTGTAAATATAAGTCTGGATTATCTGTGCAAGTAAGTGTCCAAGTTTAAATCCTCTGCTCCCCACCACAGAGAAAATGAGTGAGGCTGGTTTTAAAAGGATCCTTTGTGTAGAACAAATGGAGTGGAGAGAATTTGCCTTTCAGCTTTTTTCCTGGTGCTGTATCCAGATAATTTGTTAACATCTGTGGTCTTTAAAGAAAATGCAAATTCTTTCATTTTAGACTAAGATAAATTTCTTAATTAGGAGGGTCAGGTTTCCTAAATCAAACCTGGTATATTAGAAAAAGAAGAGTAAGATGTCCTCTAAACAATGAGTGTTGAATGATTTTGCGTTATTTAAAATTAGACCACTTAATTTGTATTTAAGTCTAGGTAAAAGTCATCTGGCTTAAGGTCACATTTAAGTATTTGTTTGCCTTGCTTGAGGATGTGACTCACACTCATGTGCATAAAAAAACCAAACCAACAAACCAAAAATCTATGAACAAAGTAAACAAATCTATAGATCCATTTTTCTTTGCTTGGTTCTCTTTTCTTAACTTCAACTAAGCAACATACTTCTTCCAGTCAAAAGTATTCCTACATAGGGACAACTGCTCTGATGCTTAAGAGTGTACACCTGAGTTAGCCCTCAGAAACAAAGACTCCTTCCACAGAAGAAGCAAGGAAAGCAAGTGAAGGCACTAATGATTAGACTTAATAAAATGTGTAGCTATGGTTGCTTGTTAACATGTAAAATTGAAATCTCTTTTTAATATCCAGGCATATTTTAAGAATGTAATTCTTAGGAGCTTATCTTGGAGCACTGGGAAAGAAAATTTTGGAACATACTGCCACAAATCATGACATTTTAGACAAGGTAAAAAATATAATATATTAAAAATATTAAACACTGGAAGGAAGCTTCAGGTGAGTAGCTCGTGAATTATCTGATTGAAAAAAAAAATCAAACAAAGCTCAGGTTGTGGTTTCACAGCAACTCTAAGTACATGCACCTGCCAGAGATAGAATTCTAGCCTGGAGTTCCCACATACCAAATAGCCACCTTTTCCCTGTGTCCTCTCATACTGTCTCTTGTTTCTTCCAAGCAGTTCTGTGTTTGATGCACTATCACATTAAACTAATACAATTCATTTTACAAGCTAATTGCAAATGGTGGACACCTACATAAAATTAAAATTTTTCCTATTCATATCCATATTTCTATGGATTCAAAGAACTAGCAGTACTTTTGTGTGATTCTCTGTCATGCAAAATTAGTTGTAAATAATATAATCCAGTAACTCTGAGGTAAGATGAAAAGGATAGCAGTGGAGGAACAATTCAGTGAGCTAGTCATTAACTCTAAAAACCCATTTAAAATATAGCTTAGTCTGTAAATGAAAATAAGATGATTTGCCTTATCCTGGTTTCTGTTTGAAAATCACCACCCACTGCTGTATAACTGCCAATCTCTGTGAGAAAAAGGCCTAAAAAAATTGCCTGGTGCTCTTACTTCGGCAGGATGGAATCTCACAGTATTTCCAATATATTCCATCCTCATGTTCTGCAATGTAGCACCACGGGCTGACATCTCCATCAGGATTTCTGAAATACAAAAATCGAGTGAGTGAGTGAGTGAAAGTCATCAATTTTTTTTTTTTCAAAAAACACATATAAGTCAATCTTCTTAAGCTTCAATGACAACACTATTTTTGCCCTAATACCTCCTGTTGGACTTATATACCAAAAAAAAGCAAAAGTGGTCAGGAAGTTTAGACAGCTTTGCTTACTGCAGTACACATCATGCATAAGAAGCCCAAAATGTCTAAAATGTAATATCTTTTTACTTTAAGTTTAAAAGGTGCAGAGTTATTTCTCATAAGTACTGATAGAGAAAAAGATTTGCAGTCCCACATCCTGTGTACAGGTTCCATAGGCTCCTAAACTTGATTTTTTGCTTTGGTACAAAATAGTTCAGACTCCAACTTTCTGTATGTATGGTGATAAAAACATTTAGCTGATAAAGTCTTCTTTAGGGAAAGACTGAGTTATTTTCTTTCCCTTCAGTAAAAGTCAGTAAACCTGTTCCAGTGACCTCTCAGTATGGATGGGTAATTCCTTATGTGTCCATGATGATGATTATCATTATCGTTACCATTACCATTATAATTATTTGCTGTTGTGTAGCTCACTTACAAATGCATACCTAATTAGTCATTATATTATTTAAAGTCTTTTCTATGTACACTTTGAAAAGCTATTCACATTGAAAAGATCTATTAAAGAGAATAAATTGTTATTTTGCACAGTCAGGTTGAAATGTGACCTTTTCTTTTAAGTATGACCAGTTATAATCTCTTTATCATGAATTTTGGCATGAATTCTATTAATTACACCCCCCTACTGAAGTGTCAGTTCAGCTGCATGTTGTCATTTACGAGTATTAACAACTCCTTTGTGGGAGATCCCATTTTAGAAATGCTGGGGATATTTTTTGGTCAAGTAACAGACTGCTGAAGACAACTGGTGAGTTGAGTTCAATTTGGATGACTAAAATGTTGCTAGTTAGGCTTTCAAAAAGATTACTAAAGGTGGTGGATAAGAAAAGCCTAAGAGTGGAATACTAGGAATTTATGTGTAATGGCAGAGCTTCCAGTAGCTGAAGAAAGTAGAAGACTAAAACCAAGAAAAAGCTTGTACTCAAATTAACACATTTTCCCTTGTTTTCACAGTTACAGGAATTTTTGCATTTACATCTTCATGGCAGAAACCATATGTCTGGAATTGAATCGTGATAATGACACTATGCATATAAATGCCTTAAAATGTGAGGAAATTGTAGAGAGACATGATTAATGTCTTTAGAAATCTTTGTCTTGAACCTCAAAAGTGCATACAGTTAGAAAACAAGTGTCTGTCTTTCAGCCTTCATAATTTTGTTATGGTTGAAATGAGGTTTAGTGAAACATGATGAGGCATTTCCATCTTAACAGGGTGTTTTGCAGTAAACAAAGTATTCCAAGTAAGGACCTCCCATGGAGAGGTAACATGCTTCTGGTTAATGCTTTAAGTGTAAAACTAGATTATTCAAACATTGTCCCTAAAATCAAATCTCAAAGCAATATATTATGCCTTAAAAAAGCCTTCTGAGATATGTGCTGCCTCAGAGAAGGGAAGATCAACTCGTCCATTGTCACCAAGTAAATGAATGTCAGAGAAAGAGCTGAAACAGCTGTGTCACAGGCCTCAACATTTGCATGCTGAAGATATGCTCTGGCCCTCTTAGTGACTTTCCAAGCTTTCTTTCAAGACAATTCGAAGTTAAAAGTCATCCATTAGTTAGGATTGTTATTCCAGAATATTCCCAGGCCAAGTGATACAGTTTAAGGAAGGAAATAGCTAACCTTCCAGTCAAACTCCATCCCAAAGAGGATAATCTAACACCTAGCAGATTGAGGTCACAAAGCTGTATTTGGTAATTAAGTCATTTCTCAGGTTTATATATCAGATTATAGGCTTCTTGCTTCTTGTAACACTTACCAAATTCTCATTTGCTAAGTAAAGCAGGACTCTAGCAAGAGTTTCTTGAATATCTGAGAAAACATTCAGATTGTTACGCACATTTTTGCATAGCTCATACAACCTGTTTTTCTTTGTACTAACTGAAGTATTAGCCCAAGTTGGCTGCCAAAAGTGAGATCCTGTCTGTCTAGAATATTGCCACACAGCAACAATCAAAATTACCTTCTTCATTCTGCTATTTGTATCACAGGCAACTCAGTGGCCACTAGACTTTTCATAGCTCCATATTAGTATCCTTGCTGAGACACACAGCTCTCTACCTGTCATGAAAATCCTCACACACTTGGTGCTGCTGGGCTGAGGGAGCCTGTGAAGTTGGTATGAAATGTTTTTAATGGGAAGACAGCCCTTCCAGTGCTCACATGCCAATCTGGTACTAGACAGTTTGATATCTATCTGGTTTCCAGTAAAGACAATGCCCAACTTCTACAGAACTTCTCTTGTAGGTAGTGTATTTTGCTTTGCTCCTGTAAGGTGCTGAACTGATTCAAAAAAGAGTCAGTTCTGAAGCTGGCAATAATGCTTTCTCATTTATGGCTGAAAACAGAGTACACTGGTGCAACACACTGAAGTGTTATTTTGAAGCAGTGCTGCAGCCATTGGAAAAGATCCCAAGTATGTCTTTTTCTTCCCTGTCCTACACCAATATTTTTCAATGAGAAACAGCCTCCTGAATCATCAAATACTCTGGAAATGTCACTGACTCCTTTCATCAATGTGCTCTTCTGTCCACTGCATGTCACAAGATCTCTTTTCTATGATTTCTTACTTACTCTCCATTAACTGTCTGGCTCTGGCTCTGGCCATATTTTCTTGAATCCAGTTTCTGATTAAATAAGGAAAAGTTCTTGGATCAAGATCCACGACCTTACATTCATGATATAGCAATTCTGCTGAACTCCTGCATGTTAATTTTGTCCCATTTATGTAGCTTTATATTACTTACAGAGAAATGATTTCAACATGAATGTAGGAAGTGTATAGTCTCTACCCTAAAAAGCCTATAACCTGCTAAGTAAAAGCATCTTTCAGGAGAACAGGTGGGGTTTGAACCTTCTCACAAAGGAGACATTACAGGTTTTCTTGCTATGCCTCAGATAACTCAGTTCTTAAGCTCCTGGTTTAAACATCTCTGTCCCCAATTCCCAGCCAGAAAGAGACACCACTCAACTTTATATGCATCCTACATGAGCTGATTATTATTGCTGTTTAAGGACTGTATCTGTCAGGTTGTTCTCTACCTATCCCCACAGCAAGTATAGACTCACACAGAAACTCTGCTGGTCAGTCCTGCAGAGGCAGAAGGGCAGGTAAATGTTACAGGCTGAAAAGGGCCTGCAGAGCCTCAACATCTCGGAACTTCAGTTTGGATTTGGCTTCTAAATTCTTTAGTTCTTATTTAAGTTTTGTTCTAAGTTCTATCCATACTTATGCAGGACTTCTCTAGAAGGCAAGGAAAGAGAAGTGGATCTGCCATGGTTTAAGCTGGTATTGTAACCCCTGACAGTTGAGCTTCTGAATTCAAATAACAATTCCAACTCACTGAACAGCTTATGCTCACTTTGAATTTTTAGTGACTACATAACTTTCATAAGCACAAAACTTGGAAACAGAGTGTATAACAGAACCAGGCTTGTGTGTGAGGATAAAAACCATAACGTCCCAGAGATTCCTCCAGACATTCACTGTGCTGATGTACTTCTGATTTGGATCAATTTCTTTATTATCTTCACCTTTTCATTTAAGTAATCTATAGTCTTTCTAGTCTTTCTCTGTCATGCCAAGTTATAGATTGGACACATGATAAGGACTGTGCTGAAAAAGTGTGCAAGTTGGGTTGAAAAAGTAATTCTACTAATGGTGCTTGTAGATCCAGGGTACTGATTACAGAATAAACCAAAGCCTGAGAGATATCCATGGTTATGACATTCTTCACTGCATGACAGGAAGTTTCCTAATTTTGTGTCGACCACTCAAAGTAACACTGGGTATACAGGCAAAGTTAGTAGCAATGTGATATTTCTTACCTGCAGTAGTTATGCTCTCCAAGCCCTCCCTCCCCATTGGGATATTTCACAGTATTATAAGGATGCTCAAAGGTCTCATTCCAAAAAAGACAAGGTTTCCCTGCATATTGGGAAGTCTGGTTCTGAGTGCCACGATAGTCAGCCCCATTTGCTGTATAACATTCTGGGAAGAAAGAGAAATGGAAAAAGAGAAAGAATGTATACAGGTTTAGTGTTTGGTTGTTCTTCCCTCACTCTCCACCCCATCTCCAACAGAACATGTTTGCTTTTACTAATATGTTTCCTGCATTGTTTAGGCAACTAAACATGCTGGCTGAGATTTTAACTTTCTCTCAGAGTCAAGCCTCTATTGGAGAGATTATGATGTCATTACTTTAATAAACAATGTATAAGACCAGTGATTTACACAAGGAACATGCATTTTCTCAATAAGCATACTACATTTTTTACTGTTTCCCTCTGTTTTACTCATTAGAATGACTCTGTAACTTGTTAATTTTCCAAAAATGAAATTATATGACATTATCAATCTGCCACTTATTAGCATATTACCCAAAATCTCATGTCACTTCAGCTGAAGCTTTAAATATCTGTACTTTATAAAGTGAAAGACTTCGTAGGCATGGACCTTACAAACATTTATATTCCGATTTAGAAAAATTCTTGGGCATTATTTTCCTCTGGCCTGAATTGCCTTAGAAAGGCACCTCCTTTGGTAGAGTATAATCATGATACTGTGATTTGCCACTAGAGCATTTATGCTTCCAGATTAAAAATTATGGGTCGGTATTCTTCTGCCTTGCTCATATTTTCTCCCACTTATGTTTGTTTTCCTGGCTTCCTAGTACTCAGCAAGTTAAAAACCAAAGCAGAGAATGATTTCTTTAGCCACTAAATACACTACCCATTTCTCAGCTGAACCACACATCTCATGCTGCCTGGCTTTGCTGTGTCTTGCTAATCACAGAATCACAGAATAGTTTGGGTTGAAAGGGACCTTAAAGGTCATCTAGTTCCAACCCACCCTGCCATGGACACCTTCCACTAGACATCTTCTGACCAAATAAATATTCATATGCATGAACAATTTTACCTTTTGCCAAAATTGCCAAACATTTTTGATTACATTATGCACTGTGAGGGTGATGAGCACAGGAACAAGTTACCCAGAGAGGCTGTAGAATCTCCATCCTTGGGAATACTCAAAAGCCACCTGTACATGGTCCTGGACAACCTGCTTTAGGTGACTGTGCTTGAGCAGAGCAGCTGGATGAGATGACCTTCCAACCTCAACCGTTCTGTGACTCTGTGATCATCTTCCAGAAATAATTGTTATAATTAATGTACCGTAAGTAAGTCCATCCTGTCTGTAACTAATACTTGCTAACATTTGTCATCCTTGCATTTATGTCAGAATAGGATTAAAATATAACAGTCCATGACAGAATTAAAACTACTGTGTTACACTGCTGTAAACATTTCTTTGTACAGAGTAGCTTTAGTGGGGAAAGTCACAAATACTTCCTACCAACTGCAGGCTGTGAAACCTCCTGTTTGATCTGATAGTATTCTCTGTAGAAACCATATTACAGCTGCAGAGACGTTCTACTGCCCTGAGGGAACGGGAGAATGCTCTGAAGTGAAGTATGTGCTGATCTCAGATGTCCTTCATGAGACAGAACTTAAAAAACAAGGTTAGAAAGACCTGTGTGGCTGCAGTTGGAAGAGGGAAAAAACCAACCCACAGCTTAATACTGATATTAACAGTTCACCTTTTTTTTTATTTAGAAATACTGTGGGAGATGGAAAAATGTATTATTAAAACCATGCCTTTGAAATTAGTTTAGTCTGGGCCCACGGATATCAGAATGGTGCAATTATAATAATTATTTCACAGTTCTATTACACAGCAGATGAAAGACGATGTTTTTGTGCCTTCACTGTGCATTTTCATGCCTAGGCAAGTTAGGATTTCAATTAAATGAAATTTTGTTGCTGAAGGCACACAGAAGAGGTGTCTGCACAGCCATTAATGCATCTGCTATCATCTTTGGACAGAAAGCTATATAATTTAACAAAAACAAGCTTCAGGTCAATACTCCTCCTTACTGTAATTTACCTGACTGTCTCAGTCATGCAGGTGGGCTGCATACATTTACTTGAAAATGCAAATCTGAGTTTCCAGTATTCAAGCCACCACAGGTATTTGTGTAAACATATGAAAAAACCCACTGTAAAGTCACCAGTGTTGCAACTTTCTTCAATACCTCTCTTGCTTGGCAGTTAATGTAAAAGCTTTTGTATGTTATAGCTGAAAAATATAAGCTGATGAATTTAGCAGAAAAGAGAGGAAAACATAATCAAACTAGATCAACAAAATAATGTACAGAATAAAGAAGCAGTTGAGAGAAGTGATAAACACGTCCAGAAAAGACGTCTACGTCAGCTTTGTACTATTACTTTTTTTTTTGCTTCTCACTTCTAAATGAGAAGCAATATATACTAACATCTACTCAGAAATGCAAGGAATGTTACAATACCTGAATGAGATCTGGCACACGAACTAAACTGAAGTTGACATCAGTCCATTTTAGGATCTGCTAGGACTGGCCCATGCTTTAACTTGCGGTAGCGACTGACTTACATTTTCATGTCAGCTTTTTTTAACTGATTTTCTTCAAACCTCATTGCACCAGGAACAAAAGGAAGAGTCAGATCTCTCTTCACTCCTCTTAGCTGTAGCTTTTTGTTCCCAGGACAACAGGTAGCTGTATCAATGCCTCCTGTGTTCTTTTGCAATATCAAGAGATTTGGGAAAAATGTGCCAGCTGAGCTGTAGTGAAGCTCCCCTGGCTCAGTTACCATCTAGATGTGGAATGGGGAGGCAGTGACATACCATGCAAAATCACTGATTATCCCCAAAACACTGAAATGAAAACTTTTAGTTATGGAATTTAGTAGCTGTTACCAAATGAAGTACATCAACTTTTGTGTAACAGGGAATTTGCTAGGAAATGTTCATTTTGTTAAGGATTAATAATGATTTTGCCAGAGCACTGGAGTTCAATCTTTTCAAATAAATATTGGCACTTAAAAAATCAGGTCAGTTGTCCTTTCTATGCTCCCTCCTGGCTTTTTGTGCACCTGCTCACTGGCTGAGCATGGGAAACTAAAAAGTCCTTGATTCAGACTAAGCACAACTTGGCAACAACTAAAACATTGTTATCAACATTATTTTCATATTCAATACAAAGCACAGGACTGTACCAGCTACTAAGAAGGAAATTAACTCTATACCAGCTGAAACCAGGACACAATCCTACCTTCTTTTACCTTGAACAGGCAGCTTTGAGATCATCTGAGATACATTTTGTACAGTTTCCTATAAAATTCCTAGTAGCATAGTTACAGATCTCAGCATATTCAGTATCTTGGCAGTAAACAGCTGAATTCTTCTATTTGTCACATGCAGTGATTGCATCTTATTTTGCTGCATGACAGCCAAGACACTACCTTAGCAATCTCACCATGAAATTAATATTCCCATTGTGTTGAAGGTGCAAAGTAAATGTTTCACCTTCAGACAGACCACTGTCCTCTCTATTTCAAATCCATGGGCACCACTTTAAAAAGTCCTAAGAGATTCTGGAGAACAGGAGGTTAGAACATCCACCCTACTTTTCATCTTGCACCACCGGTGCAATAGTTCTGTGAAAAGATGAGCTTAAAAAAGGTCAGCTAGATCTGTCTGCACAAAACTAAGTCAGAAGAGGTCATCTGAATTAAACAGTCAGAAAAGACTGGACTGAGCACTACTGGTAAAACTCTTGGGCTTCCTCAAATTACCTGGTTTCTCTTTGGTAGATTATGAAGAAGGGAGGGGGAAAAGAGTAAACCAACCAGCAACAACCACCTGTACTGTTGTGGCACCCACTGGATCCAGCTGCCTTATGTTGACTGATATGTCCACAAGACTTTAGGCTATGAAGCCCTTCGCTTGGAACCCAAGGTCAGAACTGTGACTCAAGTTCCATAAATTTCGGCAAGCCTTATTCCTTAAAGTTTTCCAAGACTATGATAAAGTATGACAGAACTTGCACTGTATCCAAGTCCTCTCCCAGTGGAAGAACAGACACTTGATGGACACTAAAGCTCACAGCTTCCTAGAAGGCATCAGTGCCACTGTTCTTGATAGATTTGCCACATGGTTTCTGTTCACACACCCAAGGCTCAAACTATCCCGTCAGCCATAAATCTATATTAAACCCCAGTGTTTCAGACAAGACACAGAGAAAGCTGTGACCACTCAAATCTTGAAGTGCCTGACCTCCTCATATTTCTAAGATCTTACTCAGCTGCCTTTCAGACATAGTCTGAAGTAGAGGCTTATGTCAAATCTGTGATTAGAATCAGTGTCTGTGATGATTTCACTCTATTAACTGCCTAATGACCCTGCTGTTTCTACTGTTTCATGAGAATGTCTGTAAACAGAATTAATCAGAGATTAATCAGAGAACCTTAGCAGTGGTTCTAGTCATGAAAAACTGGAAGGTTCAAACAGGTGCTGTTCAGGATAATGAGCCTTGGTAAGAAAACCTGGACAGAAGTTTGTTGTCAGGGCTGTTTTGTTTTCAACATATCAGGTGCCATGGTTGATAGAAAAGTAATTTTTTTAAATGAATGCTGAGGTTAGGTAAGTATGTATTAAGTAGCAACTGCTAGAAAGAAAAAGCAGAAATCAAGACTAGGGATATTGTCCACTATGAGTGAATGCTCAGTGTGGGATACAGGTTCACAATTAGTTTTATTAGAGCCAGATCAACATTTGGAAGATCAAACAGCAGCTGTCGTAGAAATTTTTTCCATCTGTGTCGGTTTCTTCTTCAATGTAAGGACCTTACAATGATCATTTGCCTTTGTTACTTTGGGACTGTATGGCTGCCTGCACTCCACATGGGCGCCACTTTAGAATCGTTTGAAAAATTAAGGTAGTGCAGACTTTTCTACTGAATGAGGCACTGATGATAAATCACTGACATTTCAGAGTCTGCATTGGCTTCCAGTGATTTTCTACGATGGACTTCCAAATATTGGCTTTAATCTCTGAAGTCCTTAATGGCAAGAGGCCCAGTTACCTGGGAAATTCTCATTTTGTGCCACATT